CAGTGTCAATAGTTACATTTATTTACAGCATATCCTGATGGAGGAGCAAGTCCTCGTGACCTTCCAGGCCCTGAAGGACGAAGCGGCTAGCTTTGCTAGGTCTCTCGCGCGTACAGCCGGTTGTGAAAACAACCTGGTTGCATATTCTAAAGTCACCCCTCTTTCCCAATTCCTCAAGCTCCTCAAGGAGCGTTTCGCTGACCCAGCGAGAGGCATAAGAGCCTCTGACAAGCTTCAAACGATCCACTCGCGGCAGTGGAGGAGTGCTAAGGCACTCAAGAGTACTATGGACGACTTTGTAGCCGTCCCTGACCACGGGGTCACCGAGACCCAGTTGGTCAAGTTGTTTTATCGTGCCATCCCAGAGGCCCTACGCGGGCACTTCTTTGACAAGTCTCAGCAGGCCGACATCACATATGATCAATTGAGTAGGGAGGTCGTCCTGTATGAGTCAAAGTCTCTGCCAGTTACCACTTTCTGGCATAAGGACTTGGAGAAGGAGAAGAAGTGGAAGAATCGTACTATCTCAGGCCAAGTAAAGGCCAAGGATCACATGATCCTGACGTTAGAGGAAGGTGGTACTGATGAGGTCCCGTATGATCAGATTGAGTGGGGCCTCGAAGATGATGGCAGTAGTGTGGGGCAGGGGAGGTCTTATGCTGCTGTCGCGGCCGGAGAGAGGCCGCAAGGTAGAGCAGGAGGCCAGGGCCAAAGGGGCCAGGCCATGGGAGGCCGAGGACCGGGCGCACAGGGGGTTGGCGGACAGGAAAACCGCCAAGCGGGAGGTAGGGGTCAAGGTGCCCCGTTAAATCGCTAGGGTAACCGGTCCCCACAACGAGGAGGTGGAAGGGCGCCTCAAGGAGGATGGCACCCAGGCTTGTCGCAGGGCAGGCCCTGGGAAGATCTGGGCTTGGACCAGCGCTTATGGCAGGAACGCGTGAACATGGGTCAGTGCGTATTCTGTGGTGACCCGGCCCACGTTATCAAATTTTGTCCAAAGTATAGACAGGCCCGTTGGGCTGCCCAGMAGTCAAAAGGCAGCCGCCAGTAGGGGTCGCAACTGCCCCTACTTCAAGGCCATGTGGAGAAGTGAGCGCGCGCGAACAGGACACTCCCAACCCACATGAGCTTATGGCAGACGTTGCAGGCCCGTGCCTAGATAGCTGTCCAGAGACTGCTTGTGTTAGCGTCTCTTTAGGCAYGTCCCTCACAGGTGTGGCAGAAGAATTAAAGGAGAGGATGCCAGCCTGGGCCAAAATGAAGAAGGAGAGTAAAGGACAACTGATTTTGGTAGATGTAGAGGTGTTTAGGAGTAGGGTAGGGGCCCTTATAGATTCAGGAGCTACCCGTAGTTACATTAGCCGTAGGGCGCTGAAAAAGTTGAGGCTAGGATTAAAGGTCCAAAAGCTAGTAGACCCCATAGTCAGTGTCCTCGCAGACAACCGCACGATGCGCGTTGAGGACTACGTAAAGGGAGTCCAGGCGTACTTTCGCCTAGAGAAGGATGGGAAGGTGGAGAAAGTTCTCCATTCCCTGACTCTCCTCGTGCAAGATGACCTTCCTTTCGATATAGTGTTAGGAATGGATTGGGGAGAGGC